ACACACACACACACACACACACACACACACTCAGGAAGTCAGACGCTGGAGGATGAGTAAAGGGAACAGAAGTAAACCTGAAATGGATGATTAATGGAAACTCAGGAAGCATTTTCAGCCTGAAACACTCTCTGATGAAACAAAAGAAGGTTAAACTTTACATGTGAGTGTATCAGACACTAACCTGAAGCCTAAAGTTAACATTTCAAAAAGTTTTAACTCAGTTGTTGAAGCATGTGTCAATATGAAGTCGTCCTCTGATGAAATACGTCATCATTTATTATCACTTATCGGATTATTATTTGATTATCTGTGATTATTCACGGGGTCATTTTGTGTTTCTTCCATCTGTGTTTAAACATAACTCCTGTTATAATTTTATCATCAGCTCATTTTATTAAAGGTTTCGACACCAGCTGCAGGTTTCATGGATCCACCAACAAGAAACAACATTTAATATTACAGTTAGTTCACTCTCAGATACAACATGTTGTATTTTAACACCATTTACTGGATTAACGTGTTAGATTTAACATTTTTTTTACATTTTTGCTTCCCAATGTAAATACCAGGTTTCTGCAGTCGTTAACTTTGGGAGTTTTAAGGATTTTTAATACGACATAATATATAATTTAACACCCTTTCGTTGATAATCCAAAACAATAAAAGCTTAGGTTTATTGATCAAGTTTGCAGATGTGTTCACGTTGAACCTCCTGAGAGCTGCCGTCCTCCTGCTGGGACATCACAGGGGTTATATTACCAGAGAAATTAATTTTTATTTTTTTATTCCTATTTTTTATCATTATTATTTTCATTTTATTTTATTTTTTAATTATCAAAAAATATTTTTAATGTATTTTTATTATTTTCTTTATGTTTTTTTATTTTAAAGAATACATAAATAAAAAATGCAAATCAAACAAGAGCTCGGGTCTGAAGAGGTTAAATGTTTGTGGCTGATCTAATTACCACCTGTGTGTAACAATAATATAATAAATCAGTTAATATCAGGTGAATCCACACAAACAGCAGCCGACTGATGGACGGACAGATCAATACATAATTAGTTGAATAACTTCAGTGTTTACTGAATCTAACAGCAGCTTTAAAACATCTATGAAGCGATTTTAAGACTTCTTAACAGCATCTGAGGCCTTTTCTGACACTTGGAACAGATCCTCTGAAGGTTTTCTGTTAGATCATTTGGCAGCGAGTGTCCTCCTGAAGCCGCTCTGAAACCTACAGATGTGAGGTTCTGTTCTGGCCGTGCAGGATCAGGATGCTGTTGTGGGAGGATTACGACATCCTGCACCTGCGTTGTTATGTGAGCTCTAATTAAGTGCGGCTGTTGTTGTGGATGTCGGTGGCAGCGGCCTGAGGAAACGGCCTCATCATCTCTGCTCTCTGTTCATTTACTTCCTGCCCCTCTCAGCTGCTGCGTGAGCACCAGCTTGACCCGTTAAAGCCGAGCGTCACCGCCTGAACCGGACTGGACTGTCGGCTCGTCTCGGCGCCGAGGTGATGAACCCCAGAGCCTGAAGCTAAAATGCAAAACTGAGCAGTAATTTCTGACAAAACAGACTCACAAAGTGCTCAGTCAGGCCGGCTGCTGCAGCTCCAAGCACCTCGAGCTCCATGCACGTTAAAGGCAGAGGCGGGAGAACCAATCGGATCCTTTACCTCAGTGAAAGCACCACAACAGCAAAGTAAGAACGCTCCATTATGAGGACCAGGCTGCATGAAAAATCCTGCTTAGGTCAAAATGTACAGCAGGAAAATGTAGTTCAGGTATTAAAGGACGACTGTGTTCACGCCCTGTGACTGATGTGTCATCATATGTGACATTAGATCAGATTAATAAGTGAAACGCGTCTGTGTGTCTTTAAACCACTTTATATTCAGGTTTATATACAGGAACAGAGGAAGTAGGAGAGAAAGTCACTGATTGATCTGGTTTCTAGGAAAGAAGGAAAAATAACATTTTGATACACAAAAGTGGTTTTTGCTCAGATATTAGATTTATTATTTTTTAAACATTTATTCATATAAACTCTGTTATCTGATGTTATTATTAACTCATAGACATCTGATATGTGAGCTCGCCTACAGGTTGGAAACCGCTGGTTTCATTTCTAACGGTTGTGTTTAAAAAGCTCGTTATAATAAATGTTTTGTCAAATTTTCATCTTAAATAGTTGTAGATAAATGCAGCAGAGTCCTTTTAGCGATTTATTTATTTTACCTCTGAACTGTAGTGGAGTGAAAATATAAAGTAGTATTAAATAGAAGTACTTGAGTAAAAGTACCCAAGTACCGCTGACCAATGATCAAACCCATTGACACTTCCCAACAGAACCTGACTGACCACATGCTGACTTCAGCCACTGAAGAGGCTCCAGACTGAACCCAGCATCAGACAGAAGATCAGTGGATTGATGTGAACCTGATGCACACATTCATGGTCTCCAAAAGAAGAATCCTACCGACTCTGGAGGTCGTCGTTTATGTTTTTAAACGCAGCTGTGACTCGATAACCCGACACTAAATGTAAAACCTTCTTCTATGTCGGATATCAAGGCTGTGGGATTGTCCAGACGGAGGTCCAGATACGAGGAGGGCTTGATGCTGGAAGG